GCGTGGGTATTCATCTAGTACATAATTATTTTACTAAAATAGTGCCTTAAATGGTTCAATGCGCCCACTACTAAATTTAAACCACTCCACTTGTCTACTACTCATTTTCCACAAATTAAATAATAAATAATTTACAAGTTATTATTTCTACTCCTGTAATCGTTTTTTAGTTCTCATAATATCCTTTCTATAGTATTGTTTGGAATACGTATCGTCAATAAAACAATAACTCAATCATTATAATTTTTACCATTGATTTAGTTATTCGTTGGTTTACTTAACAGAACAAAATAGCTAATCTATACTATTAATTGGGAAGCACTCAAACATAAATAACCTTATAAAGTGTAAAGTATTACAAAAATGCCAATGTTTTAGTTTTTAAATAAATTCATTAAAGATACAATAGTAATCACAAAATAATATATTTAAATAAAAAATAATAAAATTCTTTAAAGTAATTATTAGTTTCCAAAAAATGAAACTCACTTTCTCTCACTTATAAATTATGGACGAAAATTTAATTTTTTTTTCTAAAAAGTTGTTAACCAATGTGAATTGAAAAACTAAGATTTGATATTCAACTAAAATTTTATCTAAACCAATCCTAATAAACTATTCTGTATCAAAAATAAAAAGAAAAATAATACCATTTTAATTAAAAATTAAAAATACTATAGTTTAAAAAAATTTATCAATAAAGGATTTTAAGATTGAATTTGAAATTTTGTAAAAAAATTAAATACAAATATTTAAGACTCAGTTTTGTTATAATATTTTCACAAATTTTGAAATATAAAACAAAATTTTATTTCACAATTTCTAAAAAAACAATATTGGGTATTCATTTAGAGCAAGTTTCGGAAATATCTAAACAATAGATTCTACATATTAATTTCGAAATATTTTGTGTTTTCTTTTTTTTCTTCTCAACCGGATCTTCCTTAAACCAATCCATAATATATTGCACACAGTTTTTGAAATAATGTGAACAAATTATATATTTTGCATTCAAAACAAATTATGCAGCAACAGCATATCACTTTTATAGATATATCTCAAAATTTAATTTTAGCCCAAAAATCGAATTAACTATGATTAAACAATGAAAAGAAAAATATGCAAAATTTAGCTAGAAACATTAATAAATTTGTTAAAATATATTTATAACTTTAACAGCATACATATTAATCCGTAAAACTCACAGTATATATTGTAATATTGTATGGTATTTAAAGGTAATCAAACAAGAATTTGGAACATAATTTTAATGGAATAAAATGGAAATAGAAATTACGAGACGAGATGGAAGGGGAACATATATTAAAAATCAAACTAAATACCCAACTGGTATGAGTTCTGGTTATCAGCACTATATAAAATAAATTTGTTTACACACATAACCATGTACATACGTTTTGAGTTACACATACTCTATTTATGACAGATATGAGACCGTAATATTTTTATTTTATGTGTACGTGACAGGTTAAGGGACAAAGAATTTATGACAGATACCGGACGGGATATGTTTCATGTTCCAAAATAGTTACGCCTTGCTAATATACATGAAATAACACAAACTAAAACCGAATTCATATCCTATTTAACATATGTAATCAAACTGTTAGAACTGTTTTGATTAGTTAAGAAAATAAAAATGTAACACCATTTAATTTTTGCAACTAAATTAGTCCGGATTTTAAAATATAATTATGCATTAACGCAACTAAATTTAATTTTATAATATTTATATTATTACGAAGTTCACTAATACAACAAAATATTTTATATTTTTAAAATCTATATAACAATTTCTAAATAAATATTTCTACACGTACGTGAATCCAGATCTAATACACTAAGATATATATCATAAAACAACAAAATAATCTATATTGAATTAAATTTTGTTAAAAAAATTTTAAAATATGAAATCCCGCACGTACGTGCGGGTCATGATCTAGTTAACTATAAATATTAAAAGAAAAGATAACTTATAATTTTGACAAACCTTCAAAACTAAACCCTAAAATAACTGTTTTTTCTCTCGAGCGATTTTCCAGCGACCCAACACAACTCTTTGTAATCTCCACCGCTTCCGGCCGGCGTCGGTCGGCCTCTCCTTCCCTCTAGATATTCCATCTTTCCAGTTTGCATAGGATTAGGTAGTAAATAATGGCAATTCGAAGTTTTCAAACTTGTGTCTTTGGCCTCCTCGCAACGATGGTGTTACAGGGACTAAGTCCGGCGGTTTCAATTCAGGCTTCGATCTCGTCAATGGCTCCATCACCGAGTTGGGAGGAGTATCGAAACAACAAACTTTCACCAATCGATTCGAGTGATGTGGATTCATGTTAGCCCCAATTTTATTTCTTCTCTGTGATTTCGCTTCGATGGAATCGTGATGTCCTTCCTTGTAGAAGGTTAGTTTCCGGTGAGTCAATTCTCTGCCGGTGGAGTTTCCGATTATCAATCGGTGTTTGTCCCTCTATCCGTAGGTATAGATTTTTAACTTGGGTTTTTGACCCCGGAATCAATAAATTAATCACCATGGCTGAAGGAATTAGATTCACTAGGGCTCGAATCGGGAATTTTACTCAAACCATGATGGGACTTCACATTATCTCCGGCTTGAGTCTTACCATGTTTGCAAAACTTGGGGTTGAGCGTGTTTATCTTGATTGTGTTGATGGTCTTCTTGTTAAGTTTGTGGTTTCAACACGGCTTTCAAACTCCTATGAAGACAAACGGTCACATCCCCAAAATTGTGAAGATCGGGGTTGTTTGCAAATATCGACAAAGGCACGACAGTTTGTAGTGATGACGAATCTGGTTCCGTATGGGTTCTTTGGATCTAGGGTCGTGATTGATAAATGCCCAGATTTACAAACTCTCACAAGCCATTTAGTTGCCTCTCGACCGTCTCAAACAGTGCTCATTGATGTCAATCCTAACACAAATTGGAATTACGATATGGATTGTTTTCAATGTAAAGCAAGGAAAATTTTGAAGAACCAATCAAGGGATGTGTTTCTGATGGAGTTACATTCAACTACGTATTATTTGCTTTGGAAACAACCATGGGGAAGACAACGGATACTCCAACATCGACACAAAGAACCTTTGTTACATTCATCAAATATCTTGATTTCTATGAGGCGAAAAGATCCAGAATCATCTCCGACAACATTGAGTTTAAATTTACTAGTTAATGTGATGCCAAGAGCATTTTGGAGTCTCAGCTATAAGCTGTTAGCCAATATAAAGTGTATGAAGGGGGGACATAACAGATTGTATCTGTTAGCCTGTAAGACTTCCGAAAGGATAGCTAGGTTATATTCCACTCCTTCATCGAAATTGTTTCAATTTCATGTATTTGCGTATAACGGTTGTTTTGGAATGTTTCTGCTATTTGTAAATTCTTATTGATATCAATATATTTGATTGCCGAAAAAAAAAAAAAACTATAAATATTAAATTACACAATTACATATATTATATATTGTAAAATAATTATTATTTGATATATCATCATTAAAAATTTTATTCTAAAGGTTAAAAATACCTAAGCTTTTGTATTTGATATTAACCGTATCGTAATAATTAAATAACCGTAACCGTATTTAACCGTAACCGTTGTAACCGTAACCGTATTTAACCGTAAATGTTTTAACCGTATATATAACGGTTAAGGTTATGGTTAGAAAAAATTTATAACCGTAATCCGTGGTCATGTCTACCTAGAGAAATATCAATACGTAAACACATGCATTTCAGTGCATTATTTCATAATGCCTAGTTAATGTTTCTACCAATTTTTTTAATTATCGGTTTTTCTCACGTATAATGTGGCCATGTGGGCTATCATTTATTTTCTCACGTATAACGTCGCCCGGTTATCATTTAACTTTTTGTAATAATGATAATACAAACAAACGATTATTTTATAAGTTATAAAATAAGTTATAACGTTATTTGATGGCTCGTTATAGTAGTGCCCATACGAAGATTTATAAGTTATAACGTTATTTGATGGCTCGTTAGAACACATAAACAAAAAGAACTATATTTACATAATGTTTCTCCATTAATAATGTTTCTCATTAATGTGTTAATATGGGCTCTAACGTGCCTTTTAATTTTGAAACAATATTTAAAAATAATTTGTTTTGTTTACATGTTCAAATAATAAAATATGATGGAGAATCTATCCGACCTTCCCTCTCGCTCTCCACTTCTCTGAACTAGGCCTGGGCAAAAAACCCGGACCCGATACCCAAACCGATACCCGGACCGAAAAAATCGGGTTGGGGCGGGTTAGGGTATTAGAAAATTACCTCATTGGGTAGAGTATTGGATTATCCGTGGGTATCGGGTCGGGTCGGAGATTACCCGTTACCCATTTAGGTTACCCACAAACCCGAAGAAATACACATGTTTATATATGTATATAGATAATTAGATATATAGTCTTATATAGTTATATACTTATATGTATGTCCTAGGTTTTAGGTTTTGTGACTTTTGACGTTTGAGTTTATATATGTATATAGATAATTAGATATATAGTCTTATATAGTTATATACTTATATATATACTTATATATATGCAATACACATATGTTTATATATGTATATAGATAATTAGAATCTACTCTTAACACTTAAGAGTGAAATAGTCATCTTTGTTATTTTGGATTGGATTTAGTATTTAAATGTCATGTTTGATGTTCTATTCTCTTTATTTGATCATTTGAGTATGTAAAGTGATTTTAAACTTCGGGTATTACCCAAACCGACCCGAACCCGACAATACCCGAACCGGACCGGAACCGAAATCATAGGAATACCCGAATGGACCATAAATTCATTACCCATTCAACCCGAACCTGAACGGGTTTTACCCGAACCCGAACGGGTTACCCATATGCCCAGGCCTACTCTGAACGACCAAAATTTCCCATTTTATAAATACTTCGACTTAACAGTTGGAGAAATATCAAGTGAAACTAAAAGAACAGAAAAAGAAAATAAAAGAGCAATGCCTATAAGTTTTATAAGCCTAGCTCTTTTGACCCTCTCGATGTTACTAATTTCCTTGTCCATCCACGGCGTCACGGCAACAAAGTTGAAGCACAATGAAGGGGAGGCTAGAAAGATGTACGAGCGATGGCTTTTGGAGAATGAGAAGAACTATAACAATCTTGGAGAGAAGGAGAGACGGTTCATAGTCTTCAAAGACAACTTGAAGCTCATTGAAACACATAATTTGGTTTCGAACCGGACATACGAACTCGGGTTGAACCAGTTTGCGGATCTAACGGTTGATGAGTATCAATCTATTTACTTGGGGGGAAAGATGGAAAGGACAAGCTTATCATTGGAATGCATGGGAATGGGATACGAACAATAGGTATCGGTACAAGGAAGGAGATATTTTGCCAGATGAAGTCGATTGGAGGGAGAGAGGAGCAGTTGTTGAACAAGTCAAAAATCAATATCAATTTATTAACTGTGGTAAGATCTTTCATTTTTCTTAGCATGATTTGATTTTGGATTGCGATTGCGGTTGACATTGAATGTTAATAAATAGGAGCTGTTGTTGGGCATTTTCGGCTGCTGGAGCGGTGGAAGGTATAAACCAGATCACAACCGGAGAATTGATATCTTTGTCAGAACAACAACTCATTGACTGCGCTACAGAAACCAATGACCGATGTGATGGAGGTGACGCGGCATACGCTTTTATGTTCATTAAGGAAAATGGTGGTATAGTAACAAATAAAGATTACCCTTTTACTGGCGATAAAAATGCAACGTGCAAGGCCATTGAGGTTTGTAAAACCAACATAAATGACCATTTTTGTAGTTTTGATTATGGTAACTTATCATCTATGTTTTCATCATGCAGATGATTACCACACGTAAAGTTACCATTGATAGTTATGAGGGTGTTCCTATATTTGATGAGATGTCTTTAAAGAAAGCTGTTGCTAATCAACCTATAGCTGTTGGGATTGATGCCAGAAACATGCATTTCTACAAAGATGTAATCCTAATTGACATTGTCACCAAAAATCTTGATTTTTCCTAATTCCCAATAAAAAGTTGTGATCATTTTTTTGTTTTTTCCCTTGTGTTCTTCCTCAGGGTGTGTTTACAGGACCGTGTGATTCGACGTTGATAAACCACAATGTGTTAGTAGTGGGGTATGGAACAAACTCAACAACTGGTCAAGATTATTGGCTTATTCGTAATTCATTCGGATCAACGTGGGGAGAAAATGGATACTTTAGGCTTCAACGTAGTAACATCCAAAATTCAATTGGTATATGTGGAGTCACACTAACACCTGTATACCCACTCAAGTCGAACTCGTCATTTGATTTGTTGTCTCCTAGTGTGTTTAAATTGGTTGTTTTATTTGTTTTTGAGTTAATTGGTTTGGCCTTGTTTTGAGATAGACAACTAATGAAACTTGGTCTCTAAGTTGTTTCGGTTATGCAAGTAAGGAATTGGTCTTTCTATTTGTTAGGATCCAATTTCCACTTTCCATGTTTCTCTAAGTTGAACTCTTAAGCTGAGCTCTAAATTTGGGAGCCAAATGTGTTTGGTAAAGTAAGTATTTGGGGTTGATCGGCCATTATCGTTCTCAATCTTTTTTTTGTTTAATTCATCAAAAATTGTTTATGTTGTTCGATTGATCATCTGAAGTTTTATCATTGTGAGCAAATATAAAAAATAGTCCTAATACTGTACAACCGAAAATAATCCAAACAAGACCATAAAACTTAATTAAACTATAAAGTTTAAACTTAATTAAACTATAATCCAAACAAGAACAACATCATCATCCACATAAAAATTAATTGAACTATAATCTAAATATCTCGCACATCCATCTAGTGTTTATATTCGCATCAGAAAAACCACGAAGATCAGTGAGGCCCTTAGATCATTGGTGATAAGAGTCTACAAAAGCTTTTACCATGGCATACTCTAAGCAGCTGCTGGATAAAGAATTAAAGATCACACCAGTACATCACCCTCAACTCCACCACCCTCAAGTCAAAGCTTTTGTCATAACTAGTTTCTTAATTCTTTTCAAGTAAAATGTTATTTTGTACACCACTGATTTTTTTCCTTAAAAGTAGAATAGTCTAGTGTCTGATTGATATATAGACCTAAGATAAATCACATCTATGCGAACACATACTTTCATTTTTGTATTTATTTTCTTTCTTGTTTATTTTCCATATTGCATAATTTTTTAAAAAAATATCCTTTTTGCTATTATAGATGAACAAATTAACAACGAATGATCACTATCAGTGACAAAAGTCAATTTCAACAGTCGTTCCCAACAATAATCATGTTCAATAGAATTGACGTGATCACTCCTCAAAAACACAAACAGCCAAACACAGTCACAAACTACAACATCATCGAATTGACTTAATTGTTGATTCATAAAATTTATTTTCGAATTAAAAATTGAGTTAAAAAATTATATATGTAAGCAAATATCACTAGAGATAACCATATCATCCGAAATATTCAGTTTCACATGTTACTATTCTTTATTTGTTGTGTATCCAAGAAAGAATATGAGTATGGTACATGTAAAATATATCTGCGGACGTATAAACGGGTATATGTTCTAAATTTGTGCAAGTATTCGTCCACGATCCGAAAATCAATTGAAATTGGTCATTTAATTACTGCATTTCATTACTTTGACTACTTTGACCAGTTTTTTTTTTTTTTTTTAAAGAAGTTTTTTCCATATTTAATGATTTCTAAAACTCTAAAAGAAAACATAGGTTTTTCCTACCGAATTTCCTACCAAATTCCTACGCATTTGTTACAAAAGTCGTAAGAAGTTCGTAGGAAATTTCCTACGAAAAAAATGTCGTAGGAAATTTCATAAGAAAGTGGAAGGAAAATCATAGGAAAGAATTGGTAGGAAATTCGAATGTTTTCGTTATAACAAAAAAAAAAAAACCATTTCTATTTACTTTTTCGAAAACACACATATATATATATATATATATATATATAAATGTGTTCTTTTTTGCATTAAAATTTGGGTAAATTGCAGGCCATGGCAGAAGACCAACTTTTATTTTCATGGTTTGGCAAAGTGAGAATTGGTTCTCATGTTTTGACAATTTAGCCAAATTCTGACCATTTTACCCCTGCCAGCGTAACGACGTACTGTTCCGCGTACGGTTCAGTTATTCGGTTTAGTTACGTACACTGTTCCGGTTAGGCGAATATATTTTCGTTTTTAATTGATTTGTGCGGCTGTACAGTGAAAATGGGGATTAATAACAATAAAAAAACATTGTGACATCAGGATTTAATGCCCAAAAAGTTTAGACATGACTCTTGTCACAATTAATGCAAAACTCATAATTACTTGTTCTAATATTAGTTTACTAGAAAGTTGCCCACGCGATGCGTGGGTTATGCATTCGTTATTTTGTATACAGATCGAAGTTTACATAAAATAATATATGGAAAGTACATTTGTATTGTTATTATGTTTTGAAAATTATTTAAATATATTCAATTTTTGAAGTATTTTTGTGAATAACTAAAAAAATAAAATTTTATTCTTTTTTCTTCAAAACATTATATAATAAAAAAAATTTTAATATATACCACAATTTTTTTTGTGATAATACATCTATTACCAATTGTCTCAAAATAATAGATCAAATTCTACTGTTCATTGATAAAAAAAATAACCTACACACTTAGTTTGTTTGGATTAAGTGTTGAGGATATATTTTTTTCTACATAAGTTTTATATTAAATGTTGAAAAATTAGTAGATAAATTCCATGCAAGCACTTAAAACATATGAAATTTTGATATTAATTACCATTTTTTTTTGTCAGCAGCTTAAATTAAAGCTCAAAAGAGCCATTCATGGGAATGTTGTTTACATATGTGATATGAAGCGGTTCGGTACGAACTTGTCGAGCCAATTTATCTGCTTTTATATTTGCGCTACGAAGAATTAAAGATAAAGAAAAAGTTGAAAAATTCTTCCTTGTCACTTTGAAAGTCCTCTAGATACACTGAAAAAACCGGCCATTCGGTTGGAAAAGACACCATCTTCACCAAATCTGAACAGTCTGTAAAGAAAACTACATCTTGGTTGTCAGCACCAATCATACACTTCATCGCCCAAAGAAGAGCTTCGACTTCTGTATCTAGAGGAGATAGACTTCTACGGATGTTGGCAGCTCCCATGGTTGGCATCTCTCCATTTGATGATGTACAATACCATCCTGTTCCTGAAAAAGTATCGGTTCCTTTCCATGATCCATCTATGAAACAATGATATCCTGAATAATTAGACTCCAGTGAGATTTCACTCACTCGGTTTCGATTTTCATTATCTAAAAAACCATGGTTATCAGTATGAAGCTCATTTTGAGCTAGCTGCCACGATTGCGCCTCTTTCTCCGCTAAACGTAAGACCTCTAATGGATCTTTATCCACATTGTCAAAGATTTTTTCATTCCTTGCTTTCTAAATGTACCAAATTATCCATGGATAAGAAGATGATTCTACCTCTGAAGGTATTCTCCTAAATAGGTGATCCAAGTTCTCGTAAATAGAAGCCGTAGAGAAAATACCCGGGACCGAAAGAATTTGAGAAAGAGCCCAAATTTGTCTCGCTGGATGGCATTCAAAAAGTGTATGGTTAACTGTTTCCTCTATGGTGCCACATTTAACACATTCGGTATCACAATTTATACTTCTCTTTCGCAGATTCTCCATAACCAGTACACAACCTGATAAAATTTGCCACAAAAAATACCGTAGCTTAGGTGGACACTGCACCTTCCAAGCATATTCTTTTAGAGGTTTAGTGTAATGCCAACCAAGGGTATCCTCTTTGTTTGACGCACCCAAAGGCAAGACACTAATCAGCTCGACATCTTCTGAATCAAAGAGCTCCCTCAAGAGATCCATGTTCCAAAAATTTGACCGGCTGTCGACAAGGCTATTAACTTTCAAAGATGGGTCAATAATTGAACCATTACTTTTCGCTGGTCTCGGGAATTGAGCCGGTATCTATGGATCCTCCCAAACTGAGATGGACGCCCCAGAACTGACTCTTTTAATAAGTCCTTTAATAACCTGAGATCTAACTGACAATATACTTCTCCAACCATGAGAAAGAGAGTATGATTTTATATTATCCAATGGATTGGATTTCCAAAAATACCGTCAACTTTTGCAAAAAGTGAATCAAGAACCGTAATCAAACGCCATAATTGTTTTGTTAGTAACGCCGAGTTAAAATCATCTACATTCCGAAATCCTACACCACCTTCCGATTTACTACTACACAGCTTATTCCAAGCCATCATGTGCATTTCTTTCGACTCGCCATTAGAACTCCACCAAAACTTAGCAACCGCACTTAGGAGATCAAAGTTCAAACATCATCAAATTGTATTGTTTTCCTAATTTAAATCTATATATACTGTTAAAATATAATAGAAAATGTGAGCATTGGATTTATAATAAAATTAGACATGATTTATAGTAAAATTAGATATTGTTTGAAATTTATATGGAATCAATTGAGACATTATTTTAGATTTAACGCACTTCATTTTAATTACGGGTTTAAAATGTATTAATTGTAATTAATCTGGTCATGAATGCATTATTGCACCTAGCTAAACAAACTTAACAATAGAAACGTCCAACATAACGTATTAAATGTCAATGTAATTCATTTAGTGATTTTATTTATGTGAGCACTATTTACACTAATAGTATGAAAATTTAAATGTAAATCAAATATTAAATAATATATTTAATGGGAGTGCTAAATGGCCCAAAAGAAAAAGAAAAAGAGTAAAAGCCTTTTTTATATATATGATTTTTTTGAATAATCTTAATATTCTTTGCAGTTATTATTATTTTAATAAATGTGTATTAAAAAAATACATAGGATTTATTAATTTAGTATTCAGTAGCATATATCTACCCAAGAAAGAAAACATAGAGTGAAAACTACTAAAAATGAAACAATATTTTAGACAAAAGAAAAAGAGTAAAACCCTCTCCTTTTTGAATAATCAAAATATTGTTTGTAATTATTTTTATATTAATAAATGTGTATTTAAAAAATACACGTGAGATATGAATTTAGTACTCATATTTAGTATATGTTTACCCAAAAAAGAAAACATAGAGTGAAACTACTAAATAAAAAAATTGTTTAAACAATTTAGAGCTTTAGATTAGCATTAATGTTTCTATTTTTTTCATTTTTTAAATCAAATGAATGAATTTAATGCATAAAAATTAGAAAAGAAAATTGACACATGTCGAAAAAATAGAGTGCCAAATGGCAATTTCTCAGAGCTTGTCTAAAAAAAACCTTGTCATATTATATAAGATACGTGTGAATAGTTGTAAGAGATAAACAAGATCCATCAAACAAACAAATTAGTCTGAACGAATGTGATGTTGGAGAAGTTTTGATCTTCTTGATTTACAAAGTTTGGAGCCAAGACAAGCATTGATCGTGTAAGTAATGAAATTGGTTAAGAAGTTTTTTTGTTATAACACACTAGGGTCTTGATTGTGTTCGAAATCAACATTGTTTTTATATAAAAACCCAGAATATTTTTATTTCCAATTTTGTTAGTTGAAAATGCTAAATAAGGATAGATTTATGTATATAAGTGTGTAGTTGGGAATTCTTTTTGTTTTTTGTAGATATAATCATGCTTTGAGTTGCATTTAATGGGGTTCTGCTGAATTTATGATGCAGGTGGGTAATGGATATTCCCGTATTTACTATGGTGGGTGAGTGGAGATGCAAAGAAGAAGAATGGAAATTTGAACCAGAGGAAGGCAGGTTTGGTCGTTGTGTACGTGTTAAGGAAAACATGACGTACACGGAATTTGTACGTACATTATGCGAGGTTTTCAGTTTGAAGTCCACCGAATGCAATCCAATAATTAGTTACTGGATGCCGGGAAAGATGTCAGTGATGATAGAAAGTAAACGCCCTCCTGTCTACATTGACAATCAAATGAGCCTGGATACCTTCTTTTTGATTCGTGGTGGGGATCCTAGTGTCACCTTGTTTGTCTCTTTCATTACAACCGTCAAGGCACTCGGGAATACTGTCCCTAGGACCGATGGTGACGATGGTGAGAGTGACCGTGTGTGTGGGAGTGCAAGGACACCAAATCCCATCATAGCGGCTTCAAATGTAGATGGAAATAATGAGGCCGTAGATGAGGAAGACGACGCTGAAGACGATAAAACAGATGAGGATGAAGAAGAGGAGGAGGACAACGAAGATGGTGCTGGGTATGATGATTATCAGGGTGATGATGGATCTATGGGGGGAAGTACCCTCGATCCTACTATAGATGGTAGTGAAGGCAGTGGCGAAGATTACGATTACAACAAGTGGAACGATGTAATTGTTGAAGAATATGGAATAGGACATGTCGAGGAGGACGTCATTCTCACTCAACAAACGGTTCAACATCCAGGGGAATTCAGTTGTTTATTGGCAGAGTGTACGTACACAAGTCGTCGTGTACCTGGAGGAGATAACTCGGTTGACCGTACACCAACCGTGACTCCAAGACCTACGTGTCAACATGGTTTGTAACAATGTACGTACACAACTGAATGTGTACAAGATACAGGCTGCGAAGGTAACACCGATACCAATATTAATGGTATAGACGAAGTCTCTGGGATGATGTTATTGACCGTGGTATTGGAGCTTCCTCAAGTGGGACACTGAATGATAATCGGCTAGTTACCGCAGCTGAGGCTTATGAAGTGTATAATGGCTTTTCTTCATTACATGGTGGCGAGTTGGAGATTCTCGACAATGATGCTGCTCCGGTATTCGATGATTTAGCCAATTTTCGAGCAGATGAGACACAAGTTGAACTCAGTACGACAGGTGAGACTTTGTATGTGGGGAGTGTTTTTAAGAACAGAAAAGTCATACAACAAACAATGTCTTATCTCGCAATCAAACAATGCTTTTGCTACAAGCAACCTAGGTCATGTCCTACAAGATTGGAGATGGTTTGCGTTGATGATACTTGTCCATGGCATTTGACTGCTCAAGTCGTCAAGAATTCAGAATGTTTCAAAATCACATCGTATGATTCCACCCATACGTGTGACGTCGACACTCAGAAGAATTATAATAAACATGCTAGTTATAAGCTTCTCGGAGAGGTAGTGAAGAGCAGATACAGTTCTACGCAAGGGGGTCCGAGAGCTGTCGATTTACCACAGTTGCTCCTAAATGATCTCAATGTTCGGATTTCATATTCTACCGCTTGGAGAGCTAAAGAGGTTGCAGTGGAAAATATAAGGGGGGATGATATAAAAAGTTACAGGTTTTTGCCTACCTATTTGTATCTCCTTAAATTAGCTAATCCGGGTACAATAACTCACCTACACTCTACACCTGAAGCTGATGGTAAGCAGCGCTTTAAGTATGTATTTGTCGCTCTCGGGGCTTCTATAAAAGGTCTGAAATATATGAGGAAGGTAATTGTCGTAGATGGAACGCAGCTAGTAGGACGTTACAAAGGATGTCTCCTCATTGCATGTGCCCAAGACGGGAACTTCCAAATATTTCCAATAGCTTTTGGTGTTGTTGATGGTGAGACTGATGCTTCATGGGTGTGGTTCTTTGATAAATTAGCTGACATTGTTCCAGACAGTGAAGATTTAATGATTATATCGGACAGACATTCTTCTATATATAAAGGCCTCAGTGTGGTTTATCCGAAAGCTCATCATGGAGCATGTACAGTACACCTTGAGCGAAATATCTCCACCTATTATGGTAAGTATGGTGTATCTGGATTATTCTTCAGCGCTGCTAAAGCTTATAGGGTGAGGGATTTTGAAAAATACTTCGAACAGTTAAGGGCTAAGAGTGCTGGATGCGCAAATTACTTAGAGGAAATTGGATTTGAGCATTGGACAAGAGCTCACTGTAAAGGGGAACGCTACAATATCATGTCTAGCAACAACTCGGAGTCTATGAATAATGTCGTAACAAAAGCCAAATCATATCCGATTGTGTACATGATAGAGTTCATTCGAGAGGTCCTAATGCGATGGTTCGCAGCGAGGAAAAAAGTGGCTAGGTATAAGTCTTTAGTGACGCCTGAGGTTGATGAGCGTTTTCTCCAAGATTTGCCTACCTCAGGGAAATACGCGGTGAAGATGTCTGGACCGTGGAGTTATCAAGTTACAAGCAAGTCAGGTGAGCATTTTCATGTTGTCCTGGACGAGTGTACGTGTACGTGTCTTAGGTACACAAAGTTAAGAATCCCATGTGAACACGGTCTAGCAGCTGCAATCGAGTTTGGAATAGATCCGAAGGTTGCTGTCGGATGGTGGTATGGCCTTCAAACGTTTTTCGATTCTTTTCAAGAACCGATTCTACCTATCCCGGATCCGAAGGATGTTGTCATCCCACAACATATATCGGATTTGATACTAATTCCTCCATATAGTAGACGACCACCAGGAAGACCAACAACCAAACGGATTCCATCTAGAGGTGAAAACCGGGTAAGTGCTATCATTCAAACATGTACACATTTTTCAAATATCCCTCAACATTATGTTTTGAGTATAAGACGCGTAGATTATTAACTTATTGTTGTTGTCACTTCAGAAAAAGAGACAGAAAAGACTTATTCCGAATCAGTGCACACGATGTAGACAAGCAGGTCATAACAAGAAGACTTGCAAAAATCCTATTTAGTTCTCCTCACAAGTTTTTTGTCGCCGCGAAGACAGTGTACGTTTATGTGTGGACCGTGTGTACCAAAGTGTTTTGACGGTGTACGTACGTTTAGTAGTTGCCATCGTATAACTATGTTGTTTTTTGTTAGTGTACGTTTTTGTTAGTGTCTTCATGCAAAAAACGGTTACAAACGGTTACACACATTTGTATCTCAACCGTTGGAACACTTTCGCCCTACCCACTGCGTCCGTTACGGAATTTCCTTATTTAAGCCACATCTCCTCCTCAATTTTATCCACGTTCCTTCAAACGAAAACCCTTTCACATTCGGCAGTTACATCAATCACACACAAAGTCTTCCGACTGTTCTTGCTAACCGTGTGATGGACGGGTATCATACCATCTCCGAATTGTGTCCTCAGATCACTGGGTGGACAATTTGTGTATTTGTCGTGAGAGTGTTTAAGAAGTTTGTTGCGCCCAACGTCTTCGAACTCGGCCTTATCTTGGCAGATTATTCGGTAGTTTCCCTATGCCGTGTTTGTGTTTTTTATCATACATCAGGTTCAATTGTATATAAAATCTGTTATATATCATACTCTGTAGGGATCCCGTTCCCGAATTGAGGCCACCATTGATCGTCGCCTTGCTCCTTTTTACCTAGACCGAATCAAAGAAAATGAGTGGAAAATTGTAACCACTTTCTTGGTCCGTAACGTCGCTGACCCAGTGAGAGCAACATCTCATGACTACGGGATATGGTTTATGGATCGGACCGTCGTTACTAACGCCTTACCAAGGGACCCAATATCGTTTTACGATTTCACTCAATTCGACTACATTTTGGAGAAAACAGTTGATAAGAACGTTTTAGTCGGTGAGATGTTTTGTAAGTTACGTTTATATGGACACATTTTTGAAATTTTAAGTTTCTTTTTCTATTTTTTTGTCCTTGCTGTAGATGTCATTGGAGCGTTGGTGGAGGTTGGCCACTTGACCGGAGACTTCTACGGTCTCAAGCTTTCTTTCAAGATCAAAGATAGACAGTAAGTGTTCTTTTGACATTTTATTCACTTACACTTTTTAATCTAAACGCTTACTTCATTCTTCTTTTAATCTAATGTAGCAACGAAGTTTTGGAATGCGAAGCACACAATGAACAGGCGTTGGAATTCCAAACCTTCTTCCGGAGTCTAGGTCAGCGCAATGTTGTTGTCGCACTCGTCTTCTGGCGTTTAACCGACAGAGCTAATCCGAAGGTTGTGAGTCATGGTCCTGTGTCAAAAGTCTTTGCCGATCCGGACACACCGGAAGTGGAAGAGATCAAGAATGTCGTTTTTTAGTTAGGGGGATTTGTTTTCCCCTGTCTTCTTATTATTTAAGACCAGATTTATATTAAGTATTGTTTATTAAACTACATAAAGTTGTTGTCGTCATCAAATTACTTGACTTTGAATAATAAACTATTGGGTAACTGTACGTACATTTTATACGAAAACCGTGTACAATTACAATTAATTTGCCAGTGTACGTTTTACTAGCTTTTTGGTTCTTCAAACAGCAAAGTGTACGAAACCCTTGTACGTAGACCAAAACATACATATATCATAATTGTTGTCCTCAAACAACAAAAAACTTCATTCATTCATAATTAAGTGCCCGAAGAAGGACATACAATGCAAAAAGACAAACAGCTTATATTAGATGCGGAAGCAATAAACTAAAAAGTAGAGCCCGAAGCATACACATGACCCGGAAAATTATATGCCTCATCCGTCATATCGAAGTCATATCTAATAGAAGACACACATCTCCCTCGCGTACCAGTAAAAGAAGCACCCTCTGCAGCCGGAACTGTACGTGCAAAGGCCAACACATGCCGGTGTGTGCACATACCTCCATGAGCGTTGCCAGAGCCGAGGACCTTCGGTGTGAAGCTGGCTTATGTGATACATCACCAGCTCTACCACTGCGTGAGCTGCCGTGATCGTGGGTGTCATCGCCCAGAACATATCGCTGACAGGCAGGAAGTCCTCATGGTTCCCCGTACAGGTAAGGAACAACCCGTTCGCGAAACAGGCGTAAGGATCGGATGGTGCGACGGAGTTGAGTAGTGTTAGACCGTGGGCGACGGTTAGGAAGTTGCTGGCCTGCCGAAGATCTTCAAGGTATATCGCCGGGATCACACCCCTGTCCAGCAATAGGCTGAAGTAGGCACGGAAGGGAGACTCTGGCTGAACGAAGTGCGGCCAAGTCATGAACTCGTCCATCACTATGGCGTTCACGTCGCTTGCGTTGACCAAGTAACGGAGTGTCTCAATGGGAGTCTGGCTAACTGGAAGGTAGTTTACGAGGATGCTAATCGGGTTTGGCAATTGTATTGCAAGGTACATCTCGGTTGGAGGGGTTGCGGGGAAAGGCATGTTGCACGCAGGGGGTTTAGAAATATTTCTGTAGTTGATCAATGAAAGAAGTTTTAAAAGAAGTTGAGCGAATAAATAAGTGTGTGGAATATCGTTTTTATAGGGGAGAATGACTTGAATGTAGGTGGTTGGTCATTTTAGTGGGATATTAAGTGCATAATAAACGGGGTTTTTAAAAATTTATATGTGTACATATCATAAAGAAACCGTGTACGTATGTCTACACTAATTACGTTCTCTGACCAAAAGTTTGAGTTGATGTATGTCGCCGAATTAGGAGAAAAGATTGAGTTCATGTATATGGCTAAATCTGGGGGGAACGCATTAATAACCAAATCTCTTTCTTTTGCAATTTCGTTTTATCTGACAAAAGACAGTGTACATTAATTGCAAAATTTGTACGTATATATGGGGATATTAGTATTTTTTTTGAAAAGATAGAGGTCATTTCTATGGCTAAATCAGGACAGTAGGTAATTAATGATAATTCGTAAGCCTGTATAGATATGGGTTTATTCCATGTCAAATCAATTAAATTCACATTTCTCTCATATTTGTAGTTTGATACCTACCAAAACTGTGTACAATAAATAAAACCCGTGTATGTATATGTTAGTCGATTTTAATTTTATAAGGAATAATTTTATAAGGAATAAGTATGAGTGAGTACGGGTCATATCACTCAAATACAAGGCATCATTATCTAACATAAAGAAACTCGTTTCTCATTTTACTATAAAATATATTACAATTATTTGTAACCATTCATAAGATTGAGTATTATATGATAAACAAGCAAGGATGTAGATAAAAAGACATGCATTACTGATAATCAAAGTACAATTGGAAAGGCCACATATTATAACATAAAAACTTAGAAATTGAGAGAATTTTACGTAAGAACTGCCTAGAGAATTTGACTAATTCTTCTTGCACACCACCAGAGGTAACATACGTTGCAAACATTTTTGAAGGGTCCAGATCTGATGTAACACAGCATCGCGCAAGGAGGCGTTCGAATACCACGTTCCTCAGGGTACGAAAAGGTTGCGCCGTATGTGTTGTTTAACCTAATTCTATATTTCTTTATTTCTTCTAGGAGTTCCTCACACATGTCACGTGTATCTTCTGATTCCAAAGCGTAATGGTTGTTTGCGAACATGCGCAGGTACACACCACCCATGTGAGCATTGCCGTCGCATATGCACAGAATTGCGCATGCCAGGGTTGCATCGGCGTGCCTTGGTACATTCCGCTGTAAAAGTACAATGGTGCCCTTAATGTCAGACTCATGGGTAACTAGACGCAGTCCTTCATGGTAAATAGCAATCGGGTTACCAGCCTCTAGACACCTTTTGAAAAAGGGTCTATATCGACCTTCAGCGTTGATGTCGTTCGGATCATGGCCTGCCGCATGGAAGTCATCGGGATCACTGCACATGCTGTAAATATTAGCATCTTTCAGGACATCCGGCCTGTAGACAATGTTTCTTCCACGAGGCCCTGATCTTAACAGAGGTCCGAGGTACCACCAACATTTGTCAGCCATTATTTTGGCTATCTTGGCTAGCAAATCATCAGGTAGATTTGGTGTAGTCATTTCTTGGAATCAGGTGTTTCAAAAACAATGCAATTCCTACCCTTAATTAAAGAACAATGGAGTTAGTTGGGTAAGTTATGGTTGTATTTAATGCAATCTTACGTAAGTGATGATGCAGTGAGGGAGAGTTGTCAAATCATTGTAAGTAAGGAAATAGTTATCTTATTAGATTGGCTGGTGGTCTTATGAGAAAAATCCACTCTTGTCTAAAAGACGTACGTTATATAAGATGTACGTACACATGTTGGTTTTTGAATAAGTGTGCGATGGGCAGATTGTTTAGAGAAGATAGTTATAACGATTACATAATTATTTTTAGGATCTCCATAATTAATTACGTTGTTCAAAATAGGTTGTTCAAAATTAGGGAATAAGTACTAGGGAATAATAATATTTTCAACATCCAGGGATAATATTCTGTTGCGTACACCTGACGGTAGATGGCCATATCTGATTCTTGAATATTCATCAAGTCTGACATTGGGTTACCAAACGCCAGCAACTCCAAGAACTTCATTGCGTAAGGCCCGCAATCTCCTGTACTTGGGTTTTGAGCGACGTTCAAATCTCTCTCATAGCCAAAAGGTTCAACTGAGTATGTCTGAGGCAATACATCCGCGCACATCGCTCTCACTAGGTACGGCATCATCTCGCAGACATGCTTCATCTTTGACCATGCAACAGACTCCCGCGTGTGATCTATGAAAGCGTCATAGACAATTATATGCCGGGCTCTGAGATGGATTGCCAAACCAACCCAATGATCACCTTTCCAGTTCATCGGAGCATATACCACGTCGACATCCTTGATCCACCTAAGACTAGATTCACGGTGTATGTGTATTCCATTGGCAATGTCGTATAGCCGTTGGCCCCATTTGAACCCCTGCTTATTTATACAATTGTTGAAGCTGACAGCACGCTTAGTAAGCTCATAAAGCAGGAAGAAGTCCAAAACAACGCATCGGTTTTCTATCATTTGTTGACCGTTCTTGTGCCACATCAAGAGTGCGAGCATTTCCAAGTGCTGAAATGATGATATCATAGACAGTCAGTGTACGTACACAATAGGCATATTTTAAAAATGTACATAAATTGTGTGTACATGCAGGCGAGTGTACAGAAATGTACTATTTCAACTTACCATATTATCCACCCACTTTCCTTGTTGTACAAGCATGGAGAAAAACTCGTTGTCCACTTTGCGATACCCGAAAAGAGTGTGCTTCCTGTAAATCCAATATTATAGTATGAGTGGTTGTTGTAGAAAACCAATTTATCAATTAAGGGATAATTTTGAAAATGCAAGATACTTACACATTCTCTCCGTCGAGGACATTGGTTAAGAGCTCTAATTTGGAAGCGTCAACCTTGTCCAGGGGGTTGAAAGGGACATTTCCAGGCGCTATAAGCAGTTCTGAATCTTCAGTTCGTTCTGGAACATCCTCCACGAGGACTGTTGTTTCCTTAAAACCTTCAGGAAGGGCTTCATCCATCTCATAAATTAGTTGCTTCTTCACTTTTTTAGGTACAACCGGCGTAGGAATTTTAATTGCTATTGCTTCGAGTGCAGCATCGTTGTTTGGTTCATCCTGTAAAGAAGTGTTATTGTAAACACCATGATTAAACAATTTCAAAATGTAATTGATAATATTTACTGGCAAGATACTCACAATATTTTCAGGTGTACCAACTGTTGTGTCTGCTTCATCTAACCCTGGGTTTGAATCCTCTTGTTCTTCTACCCCGGCGACAATCCCCTGCTCCTCCAACACTCCCTTTTCAAATTAACGTACATAATTATTTAAATGTACGCATACAATCCAATGTACGTATGTTAATAACTGTGTATAATTTTAAACCAACCACGAGATTTTTACCTCCTTTACATTAGCTGCATCCAAATCCATGGAGGCTATTGTTTCCAACTCCTGTAACACCTGCATAGTAGAAGATTATAAATTTAAACAAGCCTACACTATTTTATTTAAAAATATAGTTAGCTTACATTCTTAACTACTGCAAATGGTGACGGGGGATCACTAAGGGTGCCCTGAAGTACTGAGTCATCCACTTTACTCTCTGGAACTACTTTGGGTACATCTCCCGCATCAACCTGTAGCAGTAGTTATCAATTTCATCGGATATCTCCTCTATTTAGTTCTGGCTGAAACAATCATTACTTATACGTACACGGGAAATAAGAAAGACAAATGTACGTACACTTGTGCCGGGTTCCTCGGTGTGTTCAGCCTGAGAAGATGTATCTCTATCATTATCCTCACCAATTTCTGGTTCCTCCCCAACATTTGCTTCACTCTCAACGCCGACACCATGTTCTTCTCCCTGAAACAAATATACCATACACGTCTTAAGCTTTATGTGAGTACACATATGGAAAACTACATTTGACTATTAGCAGACATATACCTGTCCAGATGTTGCAGGTAAACCAGATGGATTTTCTACAATCTCTGTGTCAGCAGTTGGTTTTCCATCTGTCCCTGACTGTGTACCAACTACGACAGGCTCACCACCATCAATTGGTCCTTTATCCTAAAACATAGTATACCATACACCTCTTAAGCTATATATACGTGGAGAACTGAAAATAATTGATACGCGTACACTTATGGAAAACAGTATGTGACTATTAGCACAAGACATACCTGTGCAGAGGTTGAAGGTACAGGAGATGGAATTTCTTCCATCTCTGTGTCAGCACTAGCTTTTTCCTCGGTCCCTGACTGTGTACCAACAAGGACAGACTCACCACCATCACCTGCTCCTTCATCCTGAAACATAGTATACCATACACTTCTGAAGCCTATGTGTACGTACACAACTGAATAATAATTGATAAAAATATTTGTACACGACATACTTGATGGAAAGGTGTAGGTCCACCAACTGAAATGTTAGCTACTCCAGTGTCAACCATATCTTCGTCTCTGTTAGAAAAATCGTGTCCATCATTTGCAGTAAAACCACCTTCATTGTTGGCTTCATCCTGTACCATAGCAGACAAGTTACAGTTATTAATCTGAATGTACGTACATATGGAAAAATACTATATATAAATGTACGTACATGCCATACCTGGTCATCTTCCTCAGAGAAAGAGTTACCATCAGAAAGCTCAGTAATCTCCAAAGCTGACGTCATTATATTCTTCAGCCTTGAAGACTTTCTTGTTCCAGACTTGAAGACTTTCTTTGTAGACATCCTTTTAGATGCCTTCTTCACAGTAATCGGTGCCTTAACCACCGATTTAGTTGGGCTCTGTGAAGCATGGGAAGTTTGGGTTGGTTCTGTCTTTTTGCCCTTTGGATCTAGGGCAGCACGTATCTCTTGACGGACAAAGTTCTTCAAGTCTTCTTGCATTTGTTTATTTTGTGCTTCCTGCCTCCTGAAACACCTCCTAAGTTCGACTACAAACTTCTCAAACTGGGGATCTTCAGAACAATCCTCAGCAGTTTCCTCATTTTCATCTTCCACAACAGATTTCTGTTTTTTCAAAGCAGGTGCATTCGGGGCTCGTACATTTCTTTTCCTCTTCTTCACACCTACGATAGACCAGTTTAATCATTGATTGGTCTTCAAGGGACAATAATCAGAGAGTATAAAAACAACATATACACTCACGTATCTCTCCTAGTTGTGGTGGGCGCTCCTGCTTTGGGAATGCAGCTGAACCTCCAACCCATTCTTCCTCCTGCCACTCATGACCAGCTAACATCAGTCGCTCAATGTAAGCAACTCTTGGATCCTCAACTTCATCATCCCATGACAGGGATGGAGGGCAAATATTGTCATCTGGTTTCACAAGATAGGTTACCTCAACCTACACGAATAAGTTTGTTAACCACTTAGAGAATGTACACTTACTTTTTAAATAATGTACGTACATAAACAATTGCACATACCTCTTCAGTAGCCTCACAGGCCAAGATGTTGGATGTCCTGATTGCCCGCAGTGAGGCAAGATGATGGATAGACCTCTGAGTAAATGTCCTGTTAGCTTCGTCATCAGGTGCTAGCTTAGCAAGGGATGGGATTGTTTCAAACGCAAAGAGCTGGAGTGCTAATGGGAATCCATGTAGTGCATAAGACCCATCCTTTACAGACCTTATCAGTTTTTTAACATCTGAAGGGGTTTGGAAGTTTGCTATCCTCTCCAAAGTACGGGTAAAAGACAGCCTTCCCCATGGGTATTTCAAGAAGAACTTCACGTTCTTCGTCATCTCGACAGTCGTATCTTGAGGCCTGATGGGGTTTTTACCGCAGGCTATCACACCATCTACCAGGATTATAAGTGATAGAGCCAGTTGCTTCCACCCATCCATGGATTTATCCTCCTTGAGCCAGGCCACCAAATCCTGCACTAATGAAGTCGCATTCTCCCCAAACCTGTCCACAAACAGAGCATCCCAGACTTTTTTACACCCAGGTTTAACCTTTAGCACAGCCTCCACGTCTTTCTTCTTGGGATACACCCCACATTCCAGCCCAGTTACAATACTAAATTCTCTTAGTCCAAATTTGATTGGATGACCGCCGAAAACCATCCACATCTCATTTACTTTCTTTGTCACTAACTGACGGCATATTAATCCAAGCACAAGCTTACCTGAGAAGGAAGACTTGTTAGCAGGTATTCCAAAAAGGTACCCAAATGGAGAGTCGAGAAGCATCTGCATCTCATCTTTTCCCTTAAGAACTTCCGCTATGTCAGAAATGTACTCCGGTTTGGAGTACGCGTTCATCTTCGTCTTCGAAGGGTACCGGTCTAGAGCAAAGAGTCTTGGTGGTAACTCTTCAACTATAAGATCTTCAGTCGGAGCAACACTTGTACTGCCTGAAATTACAAGTGATATACAATTAAGTAAGGAAGGATGTAAACAATACGAATTCGTGTACGTACACAAGAATTATCAACATTATATACTCAAAATCTGAATTTTGGCGGAAACAGAGATTTCCAATTCAACTTCAAACATTTTCAACCTACAGATTTAGCAAAATCCGGCAACTTCTATCCCTTTAATCAAACAAGCTTTAAGATTCCGATACACCCAAAGAAACTACAAACGAAATAATATCAGAACTTACCCAATTCCTCCGGCGGCTTTGTCGGAGGGAGTTTCCTCCTCGGGTGATACAAGACTCGGTGGTGAGACTAGTATCGGGATAGAGATGGTGGCTTCACAAGCTGGCGGTCGCTTCTCTCTTGTGAAGGATTGATGGTCGATGATGTAGATCTAACACGATGGCGGTCGCTTCTCTCGTGTGGGATCGAAATAGATGAAAGTGATGGCGGATTGAAGTACACCACAGAGATGTGATTGGTCTCTGATACAGTACACGAACTCAGCCTTGGTGAATCACACACACAAGACAAAGAACAAGCTTATTCTCTTAAGAACACTTAAAGAGAAGAAGTAAGAAAATTCGGGTTCTTTATTGATAATCAAGGGTGAAAAATCGTACAACTGCTGCAGGGGGACTTTATAAGAGTCCTTCAGCTAGCCCTAGGGCCGAAAATAAATGCAAAAACACAAAAAAGGAAGCAAATAAAAGCAAAACACAAAAACCATTGTTTTTAGAAAGAAAATAACTAAATAAGGAAACTACTTAAACTCTCTTGAGGAGCACGCTTTGATGACGAGTCTAGCCGTTGTGTGGGCTTATTGGACCTGCAAAGATAGTATAAATTGAATAAAACTTACCGGGATGCGTTTTAGGCCCAATAGACGTTCTCTGAGTCACTTCCTGTAGTACTCTCTGACCTACTTCAGGCGTCATATCTTGTGCTCGTTTACTTGTTGGTTTCTTGAAGTAGGGGCTTTCCTGGAGTTCCTCTTGAGTATCTTGATCAGTTTCTTGGAGCTCTTCCACGTCCTTTGTGTCTTGGTCTTGATCTTGACTCTCTTGATCACTCTCGGAAGTGAAGCTTGTCTTGTACGTCTCCTGCAGCTCCAAAGTCTTCTCTTGGCTTCTAGGGGCTTCTGGACTTGTCACAGAAGATTTCATACCTTGGGGAGTAGTTCGTTCAAGACTCATTTGGGTGAAAGCTTCAGCAAGCTCTTCTTCGGCTATTGGATCATATCCGGTTTGGGGTGCTACGGACCAGTTTACTTCCTCCAGCTCTAAGGAGCTTAGAATGTCTTGCACAGCTAAGTTGAACCTTTTCTTGAGTTGTTTAGACCTTGAACGTGTCATGGGACCTTCTCGGACTTCTGGTACAGGATGTAGTACAGGATGTAGTTCAGGATGTAGTTCAGCAGTTTGGTTAAAGTCGATGTCCGCATCATTCCCTCCCTCTTCAGAAGGTTTTGTCCTCAAAACTGAATCTCCTGGATCATAAGCAGACAAGTCAGCGACATTAAACGTATGGGAAATTCTTACCCCACTCGGTAGCTCAAGACGATAGGCATTATCGTTGATCTTCTCAAGGATCTTGAATGGACCGTCGCCTCTTGGTGCTAGCTTCGATGCTCTCTACGTTGGAAACCTCTCAGGTCGCATATGTAGCCAGACCCAATCCCCTGGTTCAAATAACATTTCCTTCCTTCCCCGATCAGCTTTGCGTTTGTTGTCGGCATTTTTCTTTTCCAAGTTGTCTTTGGCCTTGTCATGTAACTTCTTGATGATTTCTCCACGTCTTAAACCATCTTGGCAAACCTGTTCTTTCTGAGGCAAGGGTACTAAATCCAGTGGCGACAAGGGGTTAATTCCATAGACTATCTCAAAAGGAGATAGTTTTGTAGCCGAGTGAACGGCACGATTATAAGCAAACTCGATAAAAGGAATGCAATCAAGCCATGTACTCATATTTTTACCAAGAGTAGCTCTAAGTAAGGTTGAGAGAGTTCGGTTTACCACTTCGGTTTGTCCATCCGTTTGAGGATGACAAGTTGTAGAGAATAGAAGCTTGGTACCTAACTTTCTCCAAAGGGTCCTCCAAAAGTGACTCAAGAACTTGGTGTCACGATCAGAGACTATGGTCCTTGGAATTCCATGGAGGCGCACCACTTCCTTGAAGAACAAATCTGCGGTTTGAGTCGCGTCATTGGTCTTGTCACACGGGATGAAGTGTGCCATCTTGGAGAACCGGTCCACAACAACAAAGATTGAATCCTTGTGTCTAATCTTGGGCAATCCTAAGACAAAGTCCATAGAAACATCTACCCAAGGGGCGTTAGGAATAGGTAAGGGTAAGTAAAGACCATGAGGATGTAACCTGGATTTGGCTTTGTGGCAAACAATGCAACGGGCACAAAATCTCTCAACGTCTTTCTTGAGGTGGGGCCAGAAGAAATGCTCCATTACTACGGCCAAAGTCTTGTCAACACCAAAATGACCCATCAAACCTCCACCATGCGCTTCACTAAGTATCAAGTCTCGCATAGAACCTTGAGGGATGCACAACCGCTTGTCCTTGAATAGAAACCCATCTTGCAAGTAGAATGCTTTGTAAAGTCCTTTGCCATGATCTTTGTAGCACTCTCCTAGTTCTGGATCATCCTTATACATCTCCTTGATATGCTCAAATCCCATCACCTTAGCTTCCATAGTAGCTATAAGAGCATATCTCCTCGACAAAGCGTCAGCTACCACGTTCTCCTTTCCCTTCTTGTACTTTATCACATATGGAAACGTCTCAATGAACTCCAACCATTTGGCATGTCTCCTCTTAAGCGAAGTCTGACCCTTAAGATGCTTGAGAGTCTCGTGATCGGTGTGGATGATGAATTCCTTGGACAACAAGTAGTGTTGCCAAGTCTCAAGAGCTCGAACTAAAGCATAAAGCTCCTTGTCGTAGGTTGGGTAATTCAATGCAGCTCCACTAAGTTTCTCGCTAAAGAAAGCTACGGGTCTCTTCCTCTGATGTAGTACAGCTCCAATTCCCAAACCTGATGCATCACACTCTACTTCGAACATAACTTCAAAATCTGGTAAGGCTAAGACTGGTGCTTGTGTGAGCCTCTCCTTCAACGTGTTGAAAGACTGATCTTGAGCTTCTCCCCATGAGAAAGGCACATTCTTTTTGATCACAGCAGTCATTGGCGCAGCCACTGTACTAAAGTCTCTGACAAACCTTCTGTAGAAACTTGCTAGTCCATGAAAGCTACGGACGTGTCCAATAGATGTTGGAGTAGGCCATTCACGGATTGCCTTGATCTTCTCCTCATCTACCTGTAGGCCATGTTTACTTACTACAAAACCTAAGAACACACACTTGTCAGTACAAAAGGTGCACTTCTTCAGGTTAGCATAAAGGCCTTCCTTCCGAAGCGTTTTTAAAATCAACTCTAAATGTTGAACGTGATCAGAATAGCACTTACTGTAAATAAGTATGTCATCAAAGTAAACAACAACAAATTTACCAATAAATGACCTTAGAACCTGGTTCATTAAACGCATGAAGGTACTTGGTGCGTTAGTCAGCCCGAATGGCATAACAAGCCACTCATAGAGACCTTGCTTGGTTTTGAAGGCTGTCTTCCACTCGTCTCCTTCTCTCATTCTAACTTGATGATAGCCACTCCTTAAGTCAACTTTGGAGAAGATGGTTGCACCACTAAGCTCATCCAACATGTCGTCTAGTCTCGGGATGGGGTGTCGGTACTTGATGGTGATATTGTTGATGGCTCGACAGTCTACACACATCCTCCATGTACCGTCCTTCTTTGGAACTAATAGGACAGGTACCGCACACGGGCTGAGACTCTCTCTGATGTATCCCTTTTCCATTAGATCACGCACTTGTTTTTCTAGCTCCTTTGATTCTTCCGGATTCATCCTATAGGCTGGCTTGTTAGGTAAAGCAGAACCTGGTACGAGATCGATCTGATGCTCTATGCCACGAATAGGAGGTAGCCCTGGTGGAATCTCGTCCGGAAATATGTCTCTGTATTGATCTAGTATAGCTTGTACCTCAGCGGGTAATTCGATGTCACCTAAACCTGTACTAAGACATTCTTTGAAAACCATTAGTAGCACGGTGCCATTGGCACTCATGGTTTTGCAAACATCATTAGAGCTTAAGTAAAGACTAGAATTCCTTACCTCTTCCTCCTTGTTCATGTGAATTTGTAATTCATGAACTTCTGAGGGACTTAGGGGGGCAAGGTTATACTTACGGTCCTTGTAGGTGAAAGAATAATGGTTGGTACGTCCGTTATGACATGTAGCTCGATCAAACTGCCATGGTCTTCCAAGGAGAAGATGGCCGGCTCTCATTGGCACTACGTCACAAACGACTTGGTCTTGATATTTTCCCACGCTGAATGATACAGTCACTTGTTCAGCAATTTTCAGCTCGGTGTCGTCATTGAGCCATCTAAGCTTGTATGGCCTTGGATGCTTTGTTTTCTGAAGACCTAACCTGTCTACCATGTACTTGCTAGCAACATTAGTACAAGAACCTCCATCAATAATTAAGTTACATACCTTGTTCTTGATGGTGCATCTAGTGTGGAAGATGTTTTCTCGTTGCACCTTCTCTTCGGGGTTGACAAACATACTCAATGTCCTACGGATGACAAGGAGTTCTCCTACATCCGGGTACTCAACGTCCTCATCATGTTCATCTGATCCCTCCTCTTGCTCATCTTGTGACTCGTAGTCACCACTAGAAGTGAGAATCATCACCCTTTGGTTCGGACATTCTCTCGCCATGTGTCCCCTACCTTGACATTTGAAACAAGTAATGTCACGAGAACGAGATTGATTAGTACTAGGGAACTTACCTGGTTCAGGCTTAGAGGTTTTAGGCGCCTCATTAGACTTGTTCTTGAACTTAGAATCATTGTCTACGGCTTTGCCTTTATCCAAGGTTCGGTTGTTGCTTGTATTCCAAGGCGTGTTGTTTCTTGAACGGTTGCTTAAGGATGTCTTACGCTTGATTTGTTGCTCCACTTGTACAGCTAAGTGTAACAACTCGTGGAGTCCATTGTATTTAGCTCTCTCCACCTTCCTTTGAATCCTCTCTTGTAGTCCGTCTATGAATTGAGCCATGAGAGATTCGTCGGATTCTTCTATCTCCAAGGAGTTCATGAGCTTCTCAATCTCCTCAAAGTACTCATCCACGGTCCTTGTTCCCTGAGACAATTTTCTAAAACGTTTTTGTAAGTCTCTATGATAATGATCAGGGATATACCTCAACCTTAAGAGGTATTTCATGTCTCCCCAATTGCTTATGGGATCAAATCTTTGTCTCCTCCGGTCAGCTACTGTCCTATCCCACCAAGACAAAGCATTTTCGGTGAGCTGAGCGGCTGCTAAGGCCACCTTTCGAGCTTCTCCATATCCATAGCAATCGAATATGTATTCCATCCGTCTCTCCCAGTCCATGTACGCCTCTGGATTTGATTTTCCTGCAAAAGTAGGAGGCATTAGTTTGATATCTCGGTTCTGCTCACGGGGCTCCACTCTCCGTGCATGGTTCCTCATCAATGGATCTTCTCTCCGTTGATGTTGACGTCTCACAGGATCGGGTGGTGGATCATCATCATCATCCAAGTCAGGAAACTCGTCCGCCTCTTCGCGGGCATTCCTTTGAGCCTGATCCGGTCTAACTTCAACCCTGGGTTGGGGCTGCTCCAAACGGCCTAGCCTTTGCCCTAATCCTCTTATCTCCGCCGTCATAGTAGCCATCATTTGCATCATGGCGTTTTGAGGTATAGCTGCTTCGTCTCCCATAGTGTATGCCTAAAAGTGATCTGCACTTAGACAAAAACAACAAAGGAATCAACGTACCACAAGAATTGAAAGGAACAAGTCGAAAACAAGAAAGCTAGAACTTGCTGACGCACTTCCTGAGGTACTTCTTGACTCACTTGCTAATACAGAACGAAATTTAATAACTAAATTTTTTTTTTTTTTTTTAATATTATCAAATTAAAACAAATAATTGTCAGGAAATATCAATGCAACAAAAACTGAAAGCAATTTTTTTTTTTTTTTTATGAAGAAAATAGTACGCAAAATGAATTAAACAATTAATGGAAACAAACTATGATTTTTTTTTTTTTTTTTAAATATAAAACTCAATGAAATAACCTAATAAACTATTATGCAGCAAACGATTTTTTTTTTTTTAATTAAATAAACAGAAACTGAACTAGTACAGAAACTGATTTAGAAACTAATGCAGAATATAAAGAAAACGATAGAACCTGGCAAGGGAAGAGCAAACCAATGCTCTGATACCAGATGATACAAGACTCGGTGGTGAGACTAGTATCGGGATAGAGATGGTGGCTTCACAAGCTGGCGGTCGCTTCTCTCTTGTGAAGGATTGATGGTCGATGATGTAGATCTAACACGATGGCGGTCGCTTCTCTCGTGTGGGATCGAAATAGATGAAAGTGATGGCGGATTGAAGTACACCACAGAGATGTGATTGGTCTCTGATACAGTACACGAACTCAGCCTTGGTGAATCACACACACAAGACAAAGAACAAGCTTATTCTCTTAAGAACACTTAAAGAGAAGAAGTAAGAAAATTCGGGTTCTTTATTGATAATCAAGGGTGAAAAATCGTACAACTGCTGCAGGGGGACTTTATAAGAGTCCTTCAGCTAGCCCTAGGGCCGAAAATAAATGCAAAAACACAAAAAAGGAAGCAAATAAAAGCAAAACACAAAAACCATTGTTTTTAGAAAGAAAATAACTAAATAAGGAAACTACTTAAACTCTCTTGAGGAGCACGCTTTGATGACGAGTCTAGCTGTTGTGTGGGCTTATTGGACCTGCAAAGATAGTATAAATTGAATAAAACTTACCGGGATGCGTTTTAGGCCCAATAGACGTTCTCTGAGTCACTTCCTGTAGTACTCTCTGACCTACTTCAGGCGTCATATCTTGTGCTCGTTTACTTGTTGGTTTCTTGAAGTAGGGGCTTTCCTGGAGTTCCTCTTGAGTATCTTGATCAGTTTCTTGGAGCTCTTCCACGTCCTTTGTGTCTTGGTCTTGATCTTGACTCTCTTGATCACTCTCGGAAGTGAAGCTTGTCTTGTACGTCTCCTGCAGCTCCAAAGTCTTCTCTTGGCTTCTAGGGGCTTCTGGACCTGTCACAGAAGATTTCATACCTTGGGGAGTAGTTCGTTCAAGACTCATTTGGGTGAAAGCTTCAGCAAGCTCTTCTTCGGCTATTGGATCATATCCGGTTTGGGGTGCTACGGACCAGTTTACCTCCTCCAGCTCTAAGGAGCTTAGAATGTCTTGCACAGCTAAGTTGAACCTTTTCTTGAGTTGTTTAGACCTTGAACGTGTCATGGGACCTTCTCGGACTTCTGGTACAGGATGTAGTACAGGATGTAGTTCAGGATGTAGTTCAGCAGTTTGGTTAAAGTCGATGTCCGCATCAGATACTCTGAGTTCCCCCTTGTCCTTCTCGGGGCCTTCCTGCGTATGCTTCTTCCTCGAGACTACGTCGTTTGGTTTATTCCCAGCCATCGCGAATGTTGGTATCTCGCCGGAGTTTTCTTAGTTCCTCTTCGCCGGAAAAACTGCAACTTTCTGTTCGCCGGTTTTCGGAGTTCAATGCGATGCCTCAAATCAAGTAGCCAACAATTCGATCGGTGATGTCGAAAAACGAAGATGATGGATGAATGAATTTCGACTGAGTTCTACTTCTCTCTCGAATCTCTCAGTCTCTCACTCGTTCTTCTTCTTCGTTTTGCTTCTAGGTTTCGTGCACAGTTAATTATTATTATTTTTTTTTAATTCAAAACGTAAAAGAAATTAAAAGAAACTAAACCGATACATGTAAAACAAAGAAAATGCAACTAAACCGAAATTAACTGTGCACGTTTGGTTTTCGTCATTAGGGATATTTTCGTCAGATTTTGGCTTAACTGCCACCACGTGAGAACGAAATCTCACTTTGCCAAAAGCTGAGACCAAATCTTTTTTTCGGCATAAACGTGAAAATTTCTTTTAAAATTTTGTATCTTGATTTTTTCCTTTCTATAATGGATTAAATTTTGTATCGTGTTAATTAAAATATTACGCCATGATATGGATAACGAATTAATTGCGTTAATACTAAAATATGAACGAAGTCGTTGGATTGTAATGACGAAAGATTTACTTTCCTAACATAAACGATCATGCTCACCTCTACTATATTCTTCAGATACTCATAATTTTTTTTTTTCAACAATTCTTTTATTAGTTTATTATGTTTTGATAAAATTACCCTCATACAATCTTCGTGCTCTTCCTTGAACTCCAAGATTCAAACATATTTTCTTGCTTCTGAGAATTTCTACCAAAATCCGACAAAAATGGAAGGTCTTAGAAGAGCAGAGGTGATCGATACCAAGAGGTGTTCGAAGCTGCGCGTGGAGCTCACGCCCTCACTACGTGGCAGTCGCATATCGGAGCCTTTTTCTCCTGCCACCACCAACACTTCCTCCCGGTTCCAACCACCTGTTCGATCCGATGGACCTTTCTCTGGTCTAATCATCTGCGTAACTGGTCTCTCTAAAGGTACGGTAAAACATCTATAAATTAATACTCAATAAATTAATACCTCGATAATTCAACATTTTGCTACCTGGAATCGAAATTTGAATCGGCTAATGTGTAACGAACTCTGAGCTAGTTTTATGAATTGAGTAACAATTCTTGTATACAGAAGCAAGGAAACAGGTTAAGGAAGCTACAGAGAGACTTGGTGGTGAATACAGTTCACTTTTTCATTCTCTGTGTACACATTTGGTTGTTCAAATATCCTTTTGACTTATATGTTACTACAGAATTTTTAGCAATCTCTGGAATATTTATATGAACATTTATGTTAGTTTTCTTAACATAAAATGGAGTTTACAGTTATGATGGACGCAAGTTTGAGCATGCCTTGAAACATGGAAGAAGAGAGACTTTGCATATCGTTACGCTTGGGTGGTTTGCGGACAGTGTCCGTAGAAATAGTGAGTATTTCTTCAATCTTTGTTGATTCTTTATCATGAAGTTTATCAAACTAGTTGTGATTTTGCTGTAGTTAAGTTGAGTGAGTCTTTCTACGTGGTCAAAAAGCCCGGAGACACTAAGGTGAATGTAGATGGATCTAAATCGGTTTACGCGGTAGAAAAACCACATAGAGGAATGCAAGGAACAGAGTTCACAGGAAGCAAGGACTTGGCCTTGTCAGGCTATTCAGTTTTTATCGATCCTGATATTTCAGAAGAAGTGAGACGCGGGGTTAGTCCTAAACACCTTATGAGTTATAAAGATTGTTCCAACACCCGTGGATCAACGGCTACATTCCAAGTCTTGCAGGTTTCACAGGTGGCTGTTGAAGGAGGTGCCAAGCTTATGAATCAATGGTTCATTGGATGTAATGCAAGTCATGTTGTATGTGAAGCTGGTTCTGTTTTGAGATATCTTGGTCACTCGAGCAATCTAGTTACAGTAAGCTAATGAGAACTCTTCCATTGTTACAAATACCGAAAATTATCCTCTGGTTGCTTATATTACATGTCACCTGTTTTAGCCAGTATGGCTTCAGAAGATGTTGGAAGAGAAACCAATGCAAAATCTAGTTCGAATGTCAGCGGATCTGGCAAGAGATCTTAGGACAATGCTTGAGAATCTTGGGAAGGTATCTTATGGTTGTTATTTTGTCTGTGGACAAGTATTCATGAAGTCTCTAGTCCTTTAATCTTGTGTTTGTATAGGGATCCCGCATGGAATGCGTTTTTGAAGATGCCTCGATGTTAACAAATAGAACGACAACACATAAAGAAAGGCAGAAGATTGTGGAATCCGCCAAAAAGGCTGTCACAAATCGCCACGCAAAGGCATTTCATCTTCTCTATATTTCATCTTCGGAAACCAACCTATCGCTAAACCGCACTCTATTTTCTTCGTTCTTCAAACAGATGGGCAAGATGCTGATCCAGCCGAATCAGACCAGCCTTCTAGATTCTATTTGTTGGACAGTATCTGAACCAACCTCAACAGCTAGTGTTATCATAGATAGTTTTAACAACAACGAAGATATCGAAAGAAAATCTTTATCTGCCTTCTTTGATGATAAAACCAATGATTCATTCACTCACTCTATGAGACTACTCACAGAAAGGTTCACATGTTCTTCTTCATCTCTGTAACTTTATATCCAAGCTACCCTTTTAGGTCTATAAAGCTCATGTTGTTTTTTTGTTGTTATGGCATGACAGTGAGAGAACGGAATTGGTATACAAAAACCATTTTATAACACTACTACTTCCAATTGATTGGTATGGTGAGATGGGACCTTCTTCCAGGTCGTATTTCAGTGAAACCGGCTTTACATGTCAACAGATTCTACAACAGATCTATGCATTCTATCAGGTAGCAATGTCCGAATATATAATATGAGTGTCAGGATCTCGTTGGCGAGACCACTTTTAAAGCAGTTTGTGTTTGTATGTACTTTCGCAGGAAAACATGTCCGAGGAGGAAATCAAAGCAGCAATTCACACCAACTCAAGGCAGAGTGAAAAGCTCCGAGCAGTGGACTCGATGATAAAAGGCGGGAAGACTGTATTCAAACGGATTCAGTTTCTTGGATCCCGGAAAGGCTTTGAGATGCTTAAACGTGTTAGTAGCTTCAACTGTAGTAATGTCTATGAACTTATCATTAAGGGATAACAGTTGACAGATAAATTAGATATTCAGATACAAAAATACAAACCTAGTTGACACACTAGACATTTCCATGGGTAAACTTGTTAACTGGATTATTTGGGAGTTTTTGCATTTGCAAGATCTGCTCGAGATCACCAAATGTAGTATTAACTTGTTAACAGTAGAAATTATTCTACTTTTGTATTGTGACGATCTTGCGGCGCTCGAGCTCATAAAGCAATTCCACGACTGCAGAGTCGAATGAACTTTTCTTGTCAGGCCTGGCTTCTCCAGCATACATCACAGCCTCACGATTGGGTATCCTTAGGGTTATGGTCGATGTGAAACTGCTGAAGCTAGTCCGCTTCTCATCGCCATCTGTGAATTCAAACGGAGTTCTGTGCAGACACAAGAAAGTTATCAGTTTAAGATTGGTCAGGACACATGAGAGCAGAGAAAAAAAAACCAAAATGAGAAGTCACAAGTTATGATGAAGTCACCTGGATTTCTCTTCCGAGGTATCAAAAGTAGGCGTTGGCCAAAGATGCTTCTTGCAGAACTCATGTAGAGTTCCACGAGGCCCGCCTTTCTTCATGTTTATAGGTCCAATAACTGAAAATCATTAAACCATGAAATGCCGAACCAAAAACTGAAGAAGAAAAGAAGAGTCTCTCAAGGTCTATGACAGTGCTTGCCTGGAATCACTATACTCTGGATTTCAATAGAATCTGAAGTCGGAGTTTCTCTGTCGCTATGATTGCAAGCAAGATTGACATCCATGGAACTTTGATTATCCCCAATCGAAATTTTACGTGAAATGTTTCTCTTCTGAAAACCCAAAGAAAGTTTCAGCACATGAAAACATCTCACACACACCAACACGCTAAGTGGAAACATCAGAATATATATACCTCAAGTTGCGTAAGCAGATGTGAAGCTGCTTTTCCCAAGGCCAGTTTATTTGTCTGTTCAGATCCATCTCCAGTTAGAAGAACATCGCCCAGCTGCAAGTGGATCGTGGCTTGTGCCTTGACACCATCATTTGAACATTTCTCTCGGAAGAAATACCCAAGAGAGTCGCATAGCTCATTGAGCTCCCGGTACGGAGGAAGCTGAAGTTTATCTGGAGTTACAAGTGGAGAAAGCAACGGCTCAAAGACTCTCCACACTTGATCGAGATCTAACCTTGTATCGATCAGCAATGCTCCAGCGATACTCTCCACCACATCTCCAAGAGCCTAAACCAAAGCAGGCAAGTATGTCAACTTATTTGCTCTCTTTGTAATCTGAAATCTCATGCAGGGACTTTAAATGGTCATGCAAGTATGTGTTTTACCTTAGGGCCCTGTATTGAAGGGATTGATCTACCAGTCTCATCTGGCTTTTGGAAGGACATCAGATACTCGTTTATTTGATTCTCAAGAACCGTAGCACAGCGTTGAAGGTGGATATGCAGATTATTTTTCACTGCAACTTGCGCAAAATTTTCATTATTTACACATGCAGAACGAAGATCAGTCATCTCTCCAGGCCCCGTTTGTTCGTAGGTGTTAAAAAGATGACGAGTGATTAGAAAATCCAGTACAGAATCGCCAAGAAACTCCAATCTCTGTTTGAGGAACAAAATGATAGCATGAGATTAGAAAACTGGGAATAAGTCAGCCAAATAATGCAGGGTGAAAATGATGAAGTCATACCTCGTATGAATAGGATTCAAGAACAGAGGAGTGTGTGATAGCCTCTTTTAAAAGGAACTTTGCAGAGAATTCATGTTGGATCTTTCTCTCCAACTCTGTGAGCTCATCGTCTTTAGGGATATAACACCGTAGAGAAACTCTATTGATGGCTTCAACAACTAAGTTTGGGTCAAAATCGACGTTAACACCGAGCCATTTCATCATATGGAGAGAAGCAGTCAATCCACCACTTACATAATAGGCACCAATCAAGGCCTCAGCGCAATCTGATACAGATTTTGAAACTGTCCATCTATGACCCATATCGCAAGACTTGCCGATTTTGATAGTCATGTTTTCTGTGAAAAATTTTGGGTCCAATGGTACTTCTCTAGTATCAATCCCACACTTGCAAGGAACTGGAAAAAGAGAAAATTGACCAGGTGCAGTCCAGCGACGCGGTTCAAAAGCGCCGTTTCTTATGTATCCCTATCAAACCAATCCCATTTATAAGATATTCCATTAGTGCTCTTACAGATATAATACATTACTTACAAATGTTAGAAGATACCTGTAGTTTACGATTGGTTGCCAAGCGATGAAGATTTGAGTTAGATATGATCGATTGCCTCTGCCGTGATAGTTGTCCCTCGTCTTTGTCAGGATACTTAAGGAATAGATAACAGCTCGCAACATACTTCAAGACTGAATCCCCCAGCAGTTCCAACCGCTCCATTGAAAATGCTTCGGGGCATGTAAGTGTTGTAACTGCTTCAAGAATCTGATTTATTGAACCAATGCAAGAGTTAAATCACAATCGCGATATCTAGTTTCCCTCTAAATGACAGATAGTGTCAAAAACCATACCGATGTACTTGATATACTGAAGTTATCGATGCTACAATCAATCTCTTCCCTAAGCTGGCTAGCCAACATTAGAGACTCTAGGCGGTGCATCACTGAGGGCAGCAAGTAGATTGATTTTAGCACAGCACGCGGTACATCAATTCTGGCCAAAAGCTCAGGAGGCAAATGCGCATGGATATTCGGTTTTTTTTTTCTAACATTGCCAGCTTTTGGTTCTGTCTTCACAACCACTGTCCATTTACATTGGAAACAACATCTTAGAGCTCATACACTACAATATCCTGAGGCCTGAGAACATATACAATGTATCCATGTGTTAGAGAAATTCTCAAGAACCAACTTACTCTCTTCATTGAAGTCGACTAAAAGGTTGTGCGCATGGTGACTCTGCTTCAACTTCATCAGCGGCTGGTTCGGGTGCGCCAAAACAATCCCATACCTGATTAAAGGGAATAAGATTAATTAGAGAGTCATCATAAGTAGATTGAGAGAACAGCCATATCAAGAATATCACTTACTTTTTATTAAAATATTCTGCATAAGTAGCATATTCAGACGAGGCGTCGCACTCAAACGGGCTCAGAGCAGAAGAATCCCTTACCGCTTCAACTATAGAGTATATCCTTCCTGTATGAATTGCAATAACCACAAGTTCTTCGAGACTATTTTTATCAGACGAAGCGTTGGCAAAGTGAATCAGATTCGTTTCTTCCATTTTATCGTCGAGTAAGACTTCCTTATCGGATGAGGTGTTGCACTGATTCCCATCACTAACCTGAAGTTCAAGAAGAGAATTTTTCTTCAAGAACTCAACTATCGAGGCACAGGAGTTGATAGCTGACCAATCAATTGTCGCACTCGAAGCTAGATCCTTTGTTTCAACTGGTAGCAGTAGAAACATAAAGGAAGGGTGCCAAAGAGAACTTGTGTCAGTTTGAAGCAAAAATTCTCTCTTCGTTCCCGATGACTTAGATCCAACAAATAACTTTCCAAACATGCCATTAAAGAAGAACTGCTGAAAGTACTTTGCTTTGACCATCTGCATACAAACACACAAAGAAGAAGACATTAAGTTCAAAACATGAAACAAGAAAACTCTACAAATCCTACGGATCAGAGTTGTGTACCTCCTCTTGACTCAAACGTATCTGGCCACAAGGTGAGACAGAAGCCTTCACAAGCTTCCTGACCAAATAAAGGTCTATCTCAACATTACCAACATCCTCGGCGAGGGTTGACTCAAGCAAAAGAGAGAAACTCGAGTATGCCTCGCCAGAAATATTACAACAGAAGTCAAACTTATAAGCCTGAAAGATGGCGCCATCAATATTTTCTCCCCAGGTTCCTGACAATGCGTTTGCACAGGTTGTTCCGTGCAACTCCTTACGTTTTTTTGAACCTGTCCAGAGAAAAAAAGGAATGTATACATATAAAAACAAATTAAGACAAGCTCCATGACCTTAGACAGACATATCATATGCATATGCTGGTGTGTGTCAGTGTATGTGTGTGTGTATGTGTGAATCAACAGCCGCTGATGGAGGAACTAAAGACTAAATTACCGACACCAACTAATTGACGAATTAATAAAATAATAAAACATACCTGCAGCCGATGAAGATGATTTACTTTTAGAAGAGGCAACCTTCTCTTTGGCGCTGGATCGTAAAAGAGTGTTATCCAAGCATAACTTCTTACATGGTGGTAACTGCTCATTTCTTCTAGGAGGATCAATCATAGTTTGTGTGGCAGCTGCTTCCTCAGATACAGTCATGTTAGAATCTGGAATAACCATGGCTCCAGTGTCCTTCTCACCATGGCCATTTGTCACAGGAGGTGGACAAGATTTCAAGTTTGGAGCTTCTGGATCTCGAATTGGGACGTCTCTTCGCATAAGGTCATACAGATACTCTCTTTGTTTCGAGTTCCCCCTACAATAATTAGTATTAAAAAACTTGACTACAAAAGAGCGCACTAGATTTTGGTAAACATTTTGTGTAAATCAATATTGCTTCTTACCTTTCAAGAAACATGATAGACTTAGAATTACTCTGTTTGGCATGTTCTTGAGACCGCGTATAACTACACACTGTTTTTGGAAGGTCAAAACAAACCATGCATGAGCAATTTGGAACCTGAAATCCCTCTTCAACCACATCAGTGATAAACAAAAGGTTCACCTGCATTCATTAAAAAGCTTTTAGAGATAGAAACATTTCTCAATCTATAAGACCTCTGACTGTGATGAGGAACAGCTAACCTTGCCATCATGAAATACATCAGGGATTTCCATTTGCGTTTTCTGTGCCAATGCATTGGTGGAGGGGTTGTTTCCGACTAAATACAAGACATTAAGGTAAGCTAAAGAGGCTTCTTTCTTCACGAATCTTTCGATCACTTCCGCAGTTATAATTCTCTCGACTAAAATAAGGCACTGTTTTTGCTTGTCACCTCTGCAAGCAAATTGAAATCGTCAGAACAGATGGAGATTTTGTTGCAATTTTGGGAGT